TGATGACGGATCTCCACTATGTTGATGTTGTGACTTTTATGACTTAAGGAATATATGGTAATGGAAAGCACAGAGGAAGTTACGATGGGAGAAAAGGCAATACATGACAGAGAACAAATAAGACAGGGGACATTTACGTAATGGAAAATAGAGAGTTACACTATCACAAATCTTCATCCTCATCTCTAAAAATAACCAATCAACAACGAATCATCCATTTCTTCTTACGAGACCTTAGCGAAGTCATCCACCAGCCCTCTCACCAACCAACCAACATCTTCTTGCGCAGTAACCAAGCAGTGAATGACGTTATGCCGCCTACAGATAAAGCTGTAGACAAGAATGTAACTACGTAAGCATCTGCAAGAATCTTCAGTATTGAAGGAGGCAGATTATCTTGAAGAAGAAGAAGTACTTGTAGCACCTACTTATAATATATATCACAATAAAGTTAATTTCCGATGCTCAATATTTTTTTCTTTCTCACACTTTCGCACATGAAGAAGTTCGTCTCCTCGAATCTTTTTTCTTCTCAAAAGACCAAATCGATTCAGTGTCTTCCTTGAAACATTAAGTATTATTCTAAGTGATGACATCGTGTCTATCGGGAGCATGCGTGCTGATCAACTGTAAATCAAATTGAAAGAGGTGACAATTGTTTACAGCAAACTTCAGATGACCCGAAGACAGAGGATCTCACCGAGCTCTCTGTCAGGTAAATAAACGACTGGTTCAAGGTTTCTGGTAAATTTTTAATAGGTTGAAGAAGTTGACAAAACATTAAAAAGCACCTTTGATTTATGAAAGGTTCTTGCTTCGATTCCAAGTGGTTGTGATGATAACCCACATTTCGGAGTAGTTGATACTTTATTTCTTGGGAAACATCTTGAATCCAGTTCATAATTTGGTTTGATCAAGGTTTCGATTCAAGGAATCAATGGTAGAAGAACAAAAACCTCTAGGTCTACCTACTGGTTACCTCATTAAGCGATTGCTCTGACAGGTAACCACAATTTGGGGAGAAAAACAGACTTTTTCATGAAACCATGATGAATTATATGATAAGACCACATATTCCTACTTAAGGCGAAGAAGTTAACACTATCCAATAAATCTTCATAATGTATTCATGCAAAACATTATTTTTAAAGCAGTTAGAATAAGTTTGGGCGTATCATCATCAGTTTATATATATTGCATTTGGTATAATTGTATTCTGAACGTTATAATGCTGTAAGTTTTTTATTGGATGTGAAATAAACTGAACTTGAACTTGAGTTTCATTACTATTATCATCATAATCATCATGCTCTGAATTTGTTTTGTTTTAAATATTTTATACACATCTGACATCTCATTAAATTTCTTTCTGCTAGAGAAGGATTTGTACCGTATGAACATATTGTTATGTAGAAAGTTTTCCTTCATAATCGTGACCCTTTCATTTCGTAATGTTACCTTACAATGTCATTTTGACGTCCAATCTTCTTCCGACCATCGGACCGCTATATAGCTATTTGCATAGGATCGCAAATACCAATATCGACCCGAACTCCAAATATGCATGTTAATGATGTCAAGAACTTAGAACTATTGTACTTTGGCATGTACGGCAAGATGTATTTCATCGTGTACCAATCAATCACCACTACCAAGCCCTCGAAAGAATATTATACGAAATATTTTGGTAAATAAGCAAGATCTTAAGAATTGCTGACATTACAATAGGAGGAGTGCTGTGGTACTGGTAGAAGATATTGAAACAAAATATCAGTTGGGCTTTTTTTCGTAGGTGGTTGCAAGACAGTGTGCACACCAGCTTCGCTTTTACAGGACTCGATATCGTTTACCTATGATGTTTGCTAACATTGTAGACTTTGTTCGAGTGTCACACAGGTATTTCGTCAGAAGATGACCCAATTGGTACTCTTTTTTTCTCTCAGCTGACATGGTAAAGCAATAAATATCACACGATTTGGTCGTTAAAACATACTAAATGCTTCCCAGTCTGTGCTTAGAATAACATTCAATGATTGTTTAGTTAATATACTCTGTTTAATATTCACGCCGTTTTAGGCTTCATGTTTCCGTCAAAGTTAAGCAATATTACCAAATTACCAGAAGGATCCGGGTCATGATCACGTATATCTATCGAGTTATAATTATGGGTTATCGTGAGTATGATGATCAAATTATTAAGGTGATCATCTATTTAGCGTGAAGGAACGTTATCAAAACCGGTCGATACTTTATAATTTGGGTTTAACTATTCTCACACTCTGTGATAGAATTTCTCTATATTCAGTTGCGACCCCCCTTAAATGATTTCGTTTCGATTCATACCATACCAACGGATGGCTCGAGTTGAATATACCACGCTTTCATGCCTGGTAAATTTTATTTGCATGTCAGAACTCGTGAAGTACAAAGTTCTTTCATTTCTTTTGTATGACGTCGGGTGAATGGAATCGTCATGCTATCTATATTTCCTTTTCCCACCGCCGAGCGGTGCACTCAATCAAAGAGGATCCCATTTCAGGCTTTTCAAAAAAGGAATGCGATCCTTTCAGAGCTTAGATGATATTAAGGCCCTAAGAATACTTCATCTAAATATAAATTGCTAACTATGCTTTTCAAGTCATACGAAATCGGGTCTGATAGTGGTATAATCTATAACATTAGTCTATTAAAGCGTTCCTGAAGTCCAAGACAGTGAGCTATTTAAAAATGATTGCCAGGCCATGTGAGCCGGGTAATACCGGAAACTATTGATATTTCGCAATGGTCGGTGTGGCTTTTGTACCTTCGCTCGTACAATGAACAAAGTATTGATTATTGATCTGTTGGGAGTTATTTAGCTGTAGCTCATTCATAGGTAGACCTTCCCAAGGCAGGTTGGCATGTGACAACCAAAAACGAATGCCAAACAATATGACAGGCCGTCAGCTGAGACCACTGCAACAGGAGAATGTCCTCTTGCGGATATCTTCAAAGCAGATGCATGCATTGTTGCAGTAGTGCGTCAGTGGTGCCTCTAGATCACCATTAGATTCTAGAGGCATGCCAGAAATCTATAGGCCATTGTCTACCCAGTTCACGCATAATACAACGATCTATAACAATTACTATTAAGACTCAATGCATACCATGAAGGTAATAGACAGTAAATCCCGGATTAACAGAAGCCAGAATGACCACTAAGCGGATTTCCAGTCTTTAGTATGGGCTTTTACTTCTAGAAGTAACATTGGGTTAACAGTTATGTTTATAAAATATCCATCATATTGTCTCAATCATCTTCACTTATGCATGAGGAGAAAGCTTGACTGAATTTTAAACTCAATATTTGTCCCCTTACACAAATGTGTAATATAGCCAACTTTTCATTTCTTTAGATTATAATTGTATAGTTTATTACCAAAGTATGAAATGTTATCCCATTGATCATTGTTCACGAATCCCGGACATCTGATTAGTTTTTAAAATAGTAAAAGAATATTAAGAAAGGAAAATTTCTATTACAGCAAGACAATAGAACCTGTTTTTTCTTTCTAAAAAGCGCCTACAGGATAATTACCCCTGTCATTGAATTCAATAACTATTCTGCTTATTACAGTGTACACTGTATAAAGCAAAATTGATTATTCTTTCTGCTTGCACAGACTTTGTCAATAAATACATTTTACAAGCAGCAGCATCAACTCATATTCATAAATAAATAAGTAAATGTAAAACAACTCAAGTTGAAGAATAACGGATGTCAAAGAAAATTGCAAAGAGAATGAGATAGAAGGAACGGGCATTTAAACGTTGCTATGTCAGGCAGTACACATTTTCAAACAAACAAAATGTGGGTCGTCTTGGTAGCGGTATCATTGACATTGACCGCAGATGAGCCACTATTTAGAATTTTTGAACTGCCCTAAGTAACCATGCTATACAGCTGACTTCGGTATAATTTCGTTCAGAACTTACAGGTTGCTAGTTATTAATAAGAAGTGCTTACCTGGCGTTTCTATCGTGTAAGTTGGTGTTAAATTAAGATTATTTGTCTCCTGACCCGCCATCACAGTTAAAGTTTGGAACTGAATACTTGAAGTTAAATAGTACTGAAGATAAATGAAAGGCAGAGGCAAAGTCCTCTCCACCGCCAAAAAATCCCAATCTTAACGTCACAAGTGCGGCACCGGTTTGTAATTCGCCGCTAAATTGCAGAATAAGTTACTTGCCGGCGAAAAATACTTCTGAACTATTGAAGTGAAGCTGCTGAATGCTGGAATGGTTACGAAGGGGGAGGTACCGAAAGCTGAAAGCAGACGATCAGGAAAAAAAACCGGTGTCTGTTCCACACGTGTGCGATTCGTAGTATGCCGTTTTACGTGAATGAATGAAACACGATCGATTTGCAGCCTATATATATATATTTACGCGCGCGTGGTGGTACGCTGTGTGCGTGGGAACAATGTGCGTGTGTTTGATTGTCCATCAATGTACTCTCTCTTCCTCTCTCTCTCTCTCCCTCTCTCTCTCCCTCTCTCTCTCTCTCTCTCTTCTCACTCTTTTCCTGTTTAAACGTTCAAAAGTGTTGAAACTAGTTGAAATAGTCAATAAATCTAATATTCCACCCTCTCTGTTCCACGGAAATGTGTAGGAGAGTAATTAAAGAGTAAATGAATTTGAAAAGAAAAATATCTTTTATATATGTAACGATTTAGAGAGGGTTTGCCAATACATATTCCACACGATAGCGACTACTTTCGAAAAAACAACGCCAAGGACAATTTCAATACACTATTGTATATCTCATAGAAATCATGTTTGGGTTACATTATACGTCTTCGTCATGTTCACACATTTTAATAGACGCACAAGGTTGTTGAAAATGCCTTTGGCTTTGGTTGAATTTACAAAAGTTGTTGCAATCGAGTTGATCTCATATCATACTCCACTATCTGAAATTTAAATGATTGGGTTTAATGATATTGCTCTTAAAATCTTACCTCGTGAGTCTTCTGGGTTAGTAGACTGGTGATTGTCACTCGTTGTGAATTCATCTTCTTCCATCGCCTGGGTCGATACGGTGGACGAGACACGAATGGGCGTGGTCATCCTGGTTGTGACTTCTTCTTCGATTGCGACTTTGATCCTCTTGATTGCTTTCTTCGACTGAGGGACTCCATCGGACAGGAGCTCGAACATCCTCCGGCTAGACCCTAACCTCTGCACGAACACAATATACCTCTCACCCAAGACAGCTCCACCCAGGCAACGCGGGGACAGAGGCGTTGGTATCGTCATAGCAACGGGATACGCCCTGGTAGACGGTGGTATCGGTGGCGCCATTTCACTCGCATCAAGTGATGATGGCGACGCGGTGGCGTCAGAAACTCTTATTTTTATTTTCTTCTTGTAGAGCTCTCCGTCCCCTTTAATAACTTGGAATACTTTGAACAAAAAGGTACTATCACCGTCAAGCTTTAATAATGTTCCTGCCAACACTATTTCGGCGCTTTTCGTCCTATCCGCGAGACTGAGAGATGGATCGGCGTTGCAGCTTGCCAAAGTGGATGTTAGCGTAGCACGAGAGAGTGTGATGAGAAGGGTGACAGTCATGAGAAAATGCACCGTTCCGCTAGTGTGGTGCCGGCAATGCGCTTCGTTGCCCATGCTTGCTAAATTAAATTCCACTTACTCGGTAAATTTAAAGGCACTGTTTAATGGAAGCAATTGAAAATCGATCACAACGACACCGTGTATATAAATTATGTTTCTGTAGTAACTGGTTCTTCAGAGTAGTAAACGAATGTATAAATTTTACTTCAAATTTAACGCTCGCTTATATACTGTTGATATTGCCTCACATTTACAGCGTGTACTTGCTTGCATTCAATGGAAATCCACGTGTCTTTTTTCACAGTGGGGTTTTTCTCTCCAATATTTCACAACCCCAGATTCACAGTTTGAAAGCAATTTCCAAGGTTAATCGATCGATGCAGATGTAATTTCTATCACCGTTGTCTATCGGACGCGTGTCGATGGAGCTACAGGTTCTTTCCGCCGAAGATGACCATAGAGATGAGGGTTCGGAAGCGATCAGATATAACCCAAATCACTTTCCGCCGTCCAAGCGATATAACAGTATCTGATATAGCATGAAATAGTATAACAGTTTGAAATAGTACCTGGTAGATTAATCAATATATATTTCAAATCGGAAATAGTATGACGATAACAATCACTGGGTTGAGGAGACCTCCTGTAGATCGAGATTCGGAAACCAGAAATAATCACATAATCCTAATTCAGGAATAGATTGCCCACGATCCGATTTAAGGAGAAACAAATGATTTCGTTTCCACAGTAGTAACCACCGAAGCACTGTATTGATCCAGCAGACGATTGAGCGTGGTCGTCATGCAAGGCACTCAAATCAATGAATGAGCGATGTGATGGTAGTCCCTTGCTTTTGTATCAGGCAACCTTTCTGGTCAGGAAACCCTTATCATAGGAAGAAAACAGGACAATTAGTGCAAGCCACACAAGAACAAAATTAATAGAGCCAAGGCTAACTATCCATTCAAGCTTTGTTTTTCTTCCGTTTGATAACGAAATTGCAACTATATACGCAACACGCTTCTAACCAATGTTTACCTGTCACAGACGGTATTTAATTTTAGCAATGAGTGTTTCCGAGCCTAGAACATTGCTCACTTATTCTCAAATACCACAGACATTGGATGACACCCCCGGAAAAAAAGTTTGGTAGGCGGACGTCCGACTGTATCTATCAATGGCGCTGTTTGGAAAGGCCAACAACTGACGAAACTTCCTCAGGTATGTCTATACATGTAGGTCAGCCTGGAGTCAGAGGAGAGAGACAGAGAAGGACACTGTATGAATCATGACCTTTTTAATCCCTTTTCGTCTAAAAATGCGTCTATCGTAGCTCTCTATTGGTAAACATCAGCGCAGCAGGAGGCTTAATATCGGTGATGTTTTTGTAGACTTTGAGAGGTGGAGATGGTCGTGAACGTATGACTCACAGCTCAAGCGACGCTTTTAAGAATCCCGATCTTTCACGGCTGCTTTTATGGACTGTCATCCGCCAGCTAGCCTCGTGAGAATGTCGGGCAGAGAAAGAGAGAGGGGGAGAGATGGAGATGGAGACAGAGACACTGATTTGAACTCATAGCCCATTCCATCGAAATAAATTTGATAAAGAGTAGGCATTTTGTATCGCGCGGTAAGCACCTTCGCGCGGGTGCGTTGAAAACGAGCGAAGACGACAAATTGGTTGTTCCCACTTGACGCATCTTCCGGCTGATGCCCAATTAGAGGCCACGACCCCGTACATCGGAGCTCCTTTCTCAGAATTGGTTTCCAGGGATGCATGCAGGCTGCTCCTACGCCAGGGTTAATACCATGTTCAAGCAAGTACCACAGGGCATCAAAGGGTGTCTTTGTATGTTAAGCATCCCCCTGCCATACGGAGATTCGCTTGCACTTTTCTCCGCGAGGAACACTCGCTTCCAGGTCGTATAGGTGTTTAATGCAGCTATAAAAGACAAATCGATTCGCTTACCTTAGACACTGTTAGAGAAGATAAACACTGAAAAGGGTATTGTTGGGGTCATTGGTCTGGATAAAAAGGGACTGTAGTCAAGCAGACGTCTACCGGAGGACATCACTTAAGAGCTGAAAAGTTATGATTAGCAGAGCTTAAAAGGCTTTTGTCAAATAACTCGTGATGGCGCCTGGTAGATCTGGTGTTAATTATTGATTAAGACGATTCTTAATCTTAATGTCCCTTAGAAAATGAACGGACAGTAAAATTTGCCAGAGACTTCCGGTATTTGACTTTCGTTTTCATTTAATGAAAACTGATGGAATGATAATTGCATTATTTGCAAAATACCATCGACAATTTATCATACATATTTAATGAGACGTATACTTACTCATATATTACTACTAGAGAGGACGTTTTAGAACACCTTAATATGATTCACCCGAAAACATTAGCACAGAGAGCAAAATACTAAGCAAATAAATGAAAAATAAACACAAAATTAGGTTTGTCAACTTAAGCAAAAGAAGTTTTTTTTTTTAAATACAAATAAATTAGCATGCTTTGTAATGTATTGAGTTATGCGATTAAAAGATGTGCTCCCCTCTTCTTCTTATTTCTTCCAATGACCCTTACCTTCTTAGGGTTTGAAACAATATTAGATATTAACGAACCAAAATAAAGATTGAATCCCATATAAAGGGGAAAAATAATTTGCTATTAATTGGTAGTTCCGATTTGTTTTACCACCTCATACATCCTATTCACAATGCGATTAATGTCTATATTTCAGAAAGTAGTAGTCATATTTGATATGGCCCGATTCGTAGAAAAAATGTACACCAAAGGAATGCATAGAACGATGCCCCATACTCTCTTGTTATAAAACAGACATATTCCAATTGAGGGCAACTTTGACGAGTTTAATTTCGCAGTTTGAATTTTCGATTTCTTGTTTGAAATTTCTTGCTGCATTTCTTTCTCATTTATTCAACGTATTCTCCTGCCTCTTATTACTATTACTATTATATTATTCTTTTTCTTCTTCTTCTTCTCCTTCTAGTTTACTTTTTTTCTTCTTCTTATTCCCCTCCTGCTCCTACTTCCCCTTCTTCTTCTTCTTCTTCTTCTTCTTCTTCTTCTTCTTTTTCTTCTTCTTCTTCTTATCAACAAAACTGTAACTGATTTTGTGTTTGCTTGATGGCAATATATCAACATGTGTCAACGTTAAAAAAATGCTGACGAAATCGCATCATTTTGCTGAATTGATTATTATCAACAGCTTATTAAAATATCTTAGTTGTGGTTTCCTCGATTTCAGGTAATAAATGACAGCGCCCTCATTGGTTTACTTCTGTGAAGATTTTGATTAGCGTTTTTTAAATACTCTATTAATATATTCTATTTTAATATCGATCTTCACATCTTGGTCCAATATCTGTATAAAGAAACCTGGTTAAAGGGCTCTATAAATATACATTCATAATTTGAAATAAATGAAGAGGATATATGTAAGTATTGAATACTCGGAAAACCGTAGCTGTCCCTCGATAAGAATATCCGGCCATCAAATTGTCACAGTTAGTAAAATAAGATAACCCGGTTTTTATTGCCGGGATTCCAGAGAAAGTGATCGTCTTTCACGGAAGCACGGGCTTTCCACTGTTTCCTAAAATCAACCGATTAACTTATACTCCGCTGCTTCCATTTAATTGTCCAGACAGTCTCTGTCAGTTGATATCACCTGAATAAAAACAGCCCAAGGGGCTAGGGGTAGCAGCGAATGGAATTGTGAAAGTTTTTGAGAGAGAGAGAGTGAAAGAGAGAGAGAAAGACAGACGGATATACAGAGAAAGAGATAGAGAGAGAGAGAGAGAGAGAAAGAAAGAAAGAGAGAGAGAGAGAGAGAGAGAAGGAGGGAGAAAGAGAGATAGAGTTAGATAGATAGATAGATAGATCATTAGATACAATTTATTAGAGAGAAATGTTGATTCATGCCTAGAGATGATTTCGGCCGAAACTTCCATTCCTAATAGTATACATGGATTATAAAAGAATATTGAACATAATCGAAATAACTTTCGAGTAATCAACTAAGGAACAATTCCAATGAGCCAACCTATATTGCGTTGCCTGAATAAAACCATATTCAGATTATGTCATATGTCATTATAATGTTTGCATATTCCAAAATGTTAAGAATAAGCAATTAAAGTTGCCTGCCTATATTGCGTTGCCTCTTTCCAATAAAAAAAAAATAGAATAGGAAGTTTCTACGTTGCTGAATGTAATACGTCTTTATGTAAAATATATGATAATACGTCAATGAAATACCTCTGATATGACGTGAAATCAAGTTTTAGTTCTCGTACATGCCATCTATAACGAATGCTTGAATATGCTCATCGTATATTATTAGAAACAATCATGAGTCATTGTTCTCCATCTTGTAGACATTAACTATCCATTTTATACTTTTTCTTCTTCTTGATATATCACTGCCATTGGCTTTTGCCATAAACATAACCAATTTAATAACAGACTAAATTAGATAATGTGTAGAATATTTTAAAACTAATCAAGTTAATTGTTAGCAGGGTGGGTGATAAGGGTGGGGTCGTATTTTGTTACATTAGGGATGGTAGGGGATATTTGAATATATTTTTAATGCTTTTTGTTAGTGTTTTTTGTTTAATTTAATTTAATTTGATTTAGTTAAGTTAAGTACAAGTACAATGTTGTTGTTTTTTTTTAAAATATTTTTAATTACGACTTACTATTTTGTTATATCATTGCTTATTATAGTATCATTATATATATATTGGACTCCATGGAAGAACAGAGCCATTAGGTTAATGGCTCTGAAATGGACTATCCAACCGTTTTATCATTCTATCATTGTTATATAAGTCTTTTATTTTGTTATATTGTGTTATTGTTTTTTATGATGATTTTCGGAAATAAAACAAACAAACAAACTGCTTTAATAAATTGTCAGCTACTCGTCATTATTTTGCCTCAAAGGTAAGGTGTTCATAGTGAATGGTGATTTGCATACAATGATAAACAGCGGAATGGGGTGATTCTGACGTACTTTTATAAGTACACTTAATCATTTACAAGTATCTTTTGAAATCTGAGAGATTCTTACAACTATCAGATGTCGAGGCCGGATAGGGAACATATTCACGTATTCCCACTTTACCTTCAGCAGAGACTCAACTTATGTTTTTATCATAGGACAATTGGCATTCAAAATCAAATTGGCTCTGAACACATTTTGTGGAAATAATTGATGTATCAATTACAAAATAGGATTATCTTACATGCATTGCCACACATATTAATGACTAGTGGCCTGTTTATATTTACAACCCGGAATGCAAAAGGCACCAACACGCATCTTTGATTTAGGAACTTTTGATTACTTCCTTTTTTATGTGATACGTCATTTTCATTTAACAACAGAATTAGCTGGATGACGTAGGTAATTTCGTTAATGCATTTTAGGAAATAAACACAAATTTTTCGTTATATAAAAGTGTCTGTTGACACCCAAATAATATATATTGCCCATTGGTAAACATAAAAATAGATTGTTGACGTCTGTATATTTCTGGCGTTCATTTATATCATGTTTTCTTATCCTATCACATCCCTGTTCTAACTGTTGGGTATTCTCACGGAAATCATTCAAGCCTTTCCGCTGATGGATTAGGAATACCGCGAGAAATTTAGTAAACAAGATATTTCCGTCATTCTAATCACCTTGACTAAAAAACAACTTGACTTTGAATGGAATAAAATAAATAAACCATGGAAAATAACAAAAGCGTGCAATTAACATGCAAACAAGATGATATAATGATGGATGATGATGATGGCGTCGGTAATTTGGATGGGAATGACGGTAATGTGAAACTCATGATGACGTTGAATGTACCTATAGGGTCATTCCCACGACCATATTAGAAAAATCGCAATATTCGAACCCAAGTTGTCTTTATATTTTGATATGTTATGTAAATCAATGAAGCTGTATTTTTTTAAAATATATTTTGTACTGAATGAATACAATTAAAAAAATGCTACAAAAAAAAAAAAAAAAATAAAACAAAAGTTATCACCTAGAAAATTGCTAATTATTAAAAAAAAAAAAAAAATCATTTATGAACAGTAAATTATTATACATCTTATGAAAAAGTTTTAATCCTATATATCGTGTGGTACGTGGTCACGCTTGGATAAATAGGAGACATTGTTTAAGAGAGTGCAGAAACCTACTTGCGCCAGTGCCTATGTGATGTTTGAATAAAACAATAGGGATTTGGATATTAATTCGGTCTTTGCAGATCCAAATAACATCCCTAAGAAAATAACTTATGCCACACATATCAAAACACACACACAGTCACTCTCAGATAAATGAAATTTACACGCAGCCAAGTCATTATTACATAATGAACATTACTGTAATATCACCAAAATTTCCCATTTAATATCAAAATGGAATTTAAATCCAATCAATCCCAAAGAACTCGGTCAGTCTGCATCTAAATGTGCTATGCGAGAGTGTGTGTGTTTGTGTGTGTATGTGTGTTCCTTACGTGTGTGAGTGTGACTTTGCTTCTGAAAAAAGCATATGCAATGCATCTCATTTGATACATTCAATTTATTCTCTCACTTTAATACTTTTGCGCAAGTCGATTTTTGCACTCTCGCAAACAATTTCTCCTGTCCATCCAAGCGTGAACACATACCACACAAAAAGGATACCAAACGATTCGGGATATAACACTCTTTCAAAACATATATGACAATCTTTCATTCATAGCTGACTCTTAAAATAAATGACATGTGTCTTAGTGTAAACTTTTTTTATTTACACGGTAGTCATGACAATGTAAATAATTCTCTGTAAGCAACGCCATAGCCTACTCTATGAAATGAGTGGAAATCAATACTTCTAGGAGTCGGGGTTACATTTTTTGGTGTTTCATTCGCTCAAAATTATAGTCAGATCCATTCCCAAACAATGGTTGAATTACTCTTTTGAGAGCGGATTCAGCATTT